ATGCAACCCTAGAAGCTCACATCAGGTAGTGACATCCGTGCTCTGACATGACATGCCCAAAAGGAAATGTACTATATTGTATACAAGAAGAATAAATAACATTGTAGTTAACCTAGAGAAGATGTAAATAAAATATGAAAGAAGAGTGGAACAAGACAAATGGTCACACTCTTGTGTGTTATATGCCAGAAGTGTAGAATACTACTTTAAAACTGTAACACACTAATGTATTTTGTACAGCATCTGCTTTAGAAGGTGCCTTATTGAGTTTACCATGAATTGCTTGTTCTGTACACAGATTATGTCCAATGTATCATTTTTAAGTAAATAACCTTATTTTAGTACACATTAGTAATGTGTTTTGTTACTATAAGATTTTGCTTTAAAATGTAATGACTTGGAAATCATAATACTGTAACTAAATCCCTACTTTTTAATACTTTGTTTATGGTGTTTTTTTCCCCACAGTCTTTGAATAAGTGGTTACTGATCACTTCTGTTGTTCAATGGTGTTCAGAATTATTTGGTGCTCCATATGTTTGGGCTCTGTATTCCTTGGACTAAATCTGGGCACAACAGTAAAACCAGTGTTTCTTCTGATTTTTATTCCTGTCTTACAGCAAGGCCAGAAGCAAGTCAAAATTGAATAATACTTTTATTTGAACATATGCAAGTTCATTACATGTTGGTTTTATTCATATAAATTTGCCTCATCAAGTAAAAAGAGACAAAATGAAGGGATGGGGAGGGTTGTTTTTGCTTGTTGTTCCCTCTGTGTACAACATTCTTTTTGTGTAGTAATATCCAAACTAAGATATTTGAGCTTAATGGACTTACATAATGTTGGTTGCAGAATTATGCAGGTGCCTCTGTATAACCTGCTGAGTTTACTCTGGTCTTTATGATTCCAGCAAGTGAAGACCAGTCAAGGGGATCTTTCATCTCTGAGTACACAATTCTATAAAGAGTCAGAATTTGTTTTCTCACTGTAGAAATGTATTGGCTTCTACTCTCTCTAGAGTTCACTTAGTTTGCAAGGAGAAATAAGTAAGATCAGTTTCTGTTCTCTTTTTGCCTTTAAGTCAGAAATAATGTTAGATTTTAAAAAATAATTTTTACAGTAGCTAGAAAGTTTCAGTATCTGAACATCGTATGATCTGCTATCAGTATATTATAAAGATAATTAGAAACCTTTACTTGTTTCCCCTGTACAATCAAGTGTTAAATTCTTGCAATAGAGTTCTGGGAAGTACAGTGAAAGACTAGACTGTTGTTACAAATCTTTTTTTTTTTTTCTAAATACATAATACCAGGAAATTAGACTGCACAAATATTTGGTCTCCTTATGACTAATATCTTGGCAAAGTGAACCTTTTTCCTGTGGTTGTGGCTGTTATGTAGTTTGTGGAATATCTTCACTGATTACACTGGTCATGGCTGGGATTTTATAAACCGTTACAGGAGGACATAAAGAAAAGACTGTGGATAACTGCGCCAGTCTTTGTTGGAATGAGCAGTTTGTCCTCCCCAGTGTTGTTTTGTGACATGACCACAGGGTGGTGGTGTGTCCTAAAGACAGGAAGAGCCTTTGGCAAACATTGGGAAGTTCTGATAATAAGTCCTACTGCCTGCTGGTAATAAATATCAACATGTTATCCTTTATGTGTGGTTGGTTTTGACCTCTCTATAAAAATTTGTTACTGATGAACTTGCATCAGTCCCTAAGAACTGAAACAGCTCTATCCAGTAACATGTCTAGACATCCCCCATGTATCTTTTGTGTGCAGGCTGAGAAGCATACTGAGTAGTTAGTGAGTTGAATCACGAGCTTTGAAATAAATTGGAGAAGTATCACTAATTTAACAAAGGATCAGGTTTTAATTCCCTGAATTTCATTAATCCCTTCTGCAGCTTTATCTTCACATCTCCCCAAAACACCATTTCAGTCTTTCTCACAGGTGTTAGTGCAGTAAGTCAGGATCAGCTGTGACTCTGAGCTGCGAGAGGATCACCACTGTGAGCTGACCACCTCCTGAGTCTGCTGCATGAGGGGTGACCATGGACTTCACTTGGTGCATCTGAATGAGTTCAGTTGAGTCTGACTGCAGAATGCAGGCATTGCTGAATCAGTAGAAAGGAAAATTGTTTATATATGAAACAGTGAGTACTTGGACTTTGAGTAAATTAAGGAGATCATCTTAATACTGGAAAAGAAAAAATACTAGGAGACTTTAAAGATACAAAGTACTATAAGATACTGACATTCATAAAGCAGCAAAAGCTTCAGTAGGAAAAGAATTCTGTGAAGGCATTAAATGCACATCTTTTTATAAAGCTTAGTGGTTTGATCTGGAAATCCAGAAACATGAAGTATTGGCAATGTTTTCTGACAGATTTGTGGGAATTACGAAGAGAAATTGGAAGTTTTCATTTTTAAATATGAATCTACGACTGACAATATCTTTATCTTGGAGTGAGCATACATATTTTTGTGCCTGTTGGTGCTTGGCCATCAGGCATGTTAGTCTAGTTGATCTGCTATGAGAGATCCTGAATCAACTTGTCTGCTCGAGGAGGTAACTCTCTTCCTGATGCCTGTGGTCAGCTTCAGATTGGTTTTTGTGTTTGGAAATTCCCCTGTTCTTAATCCAGTGAGCCAGTCAAGGGCTGTGTTTTAAATTAGCTTCATTAAATTGGTTTCCTTGAGTCAGTTGCCTAGAAATGCAGCTCATGGTGATGTCAGCCAGCCCCACAACAACCCAAGGGAGCTGGTTCAGATGGAAGTTTTTGAAAAAGCTGGTGCATTGTCTTTCATTCCTTTCTTGCTTTGTGGTCTAAAAATGAGACTTCCAGTAAAGACAACTTTGTATATGCAGGTAACATACTTAAGCACATATTTGAAGACTACAAATATGAAAATATCTTTATATTAACATTTTATTCACTCTAGATTCATTGATCTCTGAACTCACCTGGCATATTCTTCAGCAAAAGTAAACTCTGTTAAGCACAAGGGCACCAAACCTTTGGAAGTCCTGTCTGGATGAACTGCCATCCTGTCTATTACCTACTGTGTCTTTTTCCAAGTAGCTGTGTGGTTTTCATTCCAGTTGGAGCTTTCTGTCAAAGCTTTAAAAACAAAGTGTTTTAAAGTTCCCCCATCTGTGTTTAATTGTGGCATGTAGTTGGTAGCTGCAGAATTGGTGTGCACTGAAGGTGGGGTGTTCTTTGAGCTACCCTGACCTAAGCAGTGTGGTTGGCCTGGCTCTGCACAGGATCTGCCACCACAAGAGCCTGTAATTGGAGTACCACTGGTAAAAAAAAGAAAAAGCATCTCAGTCACCCCGGTGTAGCAGCTTTGTACTGAAAGATCCCAGTCTTACAATTTGATGCTTTTCTTCATGTTTGACGTTTCACCTCATTGATTTTTTTTCTTCTCTTCCTTCCCTCAGCTATTTGAGCAATCTGTGGGATGGAAGATGACACTGAGCTTGCAGACACTGCTGCCTGCCACAGAGCAGTGTGAGATGTGGCTCCATGCTAGATAAATGGAGACACTTCGACTGTTAATCTTGTGTGGAAATCAGCCTTGGTTAGGAGTAGAGGGGAGAATTTTGAGTCATTTGCTTTGTTGGATTTTTCAGGATGAGGAGTAGCAATCTTCTCAGAGAGTCAGTTGCTGAAGCTACTTTGTAGCTTTATTTCAAAAGACACATTGTCTGCTTGTCAAACTTTACCTGAAGTGCAATGTGTGTTGGTACTGATGTTGGAAGGTTTTTTAATAATTCTGTAGTTTAGCATTGCTTAGAACACAAGTAGGTGGGGAGAAAACTGCTTAACAGCAGGGTAGATTTCTGTTAGAAATCACTACCTTAAAAGGGCATAAATTAAAAAATAAGAATTTACCTCTTCATCAAAAATATTGGGAATTTCAAAGTGCATTTCATTTTGGCAAATGCAATCATTTTGATATTGTTTTGTAAGGTATTGGGGTTGACAAAAAAAAACCCCACAACCCACAATTTGACTTCTTTAAAGTGAAAGTCTTTAAGAGGTTTTTATTTGACAGAAGACAAGTTTAGGGCATGACTAGACATGGCCATCTTGAGATTTTTGAAAATTAAAAAAAAAAAACCCTGCACAGTTCAAAAATTCTACTCTTTGGTTTGCTCTAATTCTGAATTTATATTTGGCAATGATAGGAGACCAATGAGTTTGCCTTTTTGCTGTTAGTTTTGCTTGCTTGATTTTAAAACACTTACTAAATGCTGAACTCTGGGCTGAATTCACTATGTTCTTTAGGATTAACTTTAAAAATAAACTACATTTTCACCAATATTTTAAAATATTGGTGTCATTTTCCTAATGCGTAAATGTAGATGTAATTCATCATAACAAAATTACATGATTATTCATTTTTTGCAATGCAGTTTAAATGTAACACAGGCCCAGAAACAAAGACTGAGCCATTTACAAGATCCTTGCATGCAAGTACTAGTGTAGAGTGAATCTACTGGATTTGACTGATCTCTTCCAGTGTTCCTGTTGTGCACAGACTGAACCATTGGAATGAGTTGCAGATGTTTCCAAGATAATCTGTGACCACAGAGGACTAAAAGGTAAAATTGCCTTGTTTATGGGTTTTAAGGTGCCATTCACATGATATGGATTTCTGAGTTTTAAGGTGCCATTCACATGATATGGGATTTGCTATATGCAGTCCTTTCTAAAATCTTTTCCTTTCCAGTGCTGGGGGTATTTGCCCTGGGAGGGTACTTTTTTTACCAAGGGAAAGGAGAAATTATATGTGTTACAAATTAAGAAAGTTCCACAAAACATGTAGGTGCAATTCTCACAGTGGAAAGATTTGGGAATTTGTGTGCTGATACGTTTGGAGTCCAAACGATTAGCTTTTCACTTGAAAGAAAATCTCATTGCTGCTCATAAGCAACTGATCAAAAGCCAAACACTTCCAGAAAAGAAGCATGAAGACAAATCTAGGGTAGTGCTATGTTTAAACACATGCAGTAGGACTGAATACATCACAGATGAAGCAATAGTGAATGGATCCATTGCATCTATGGAAAGAGATCAATAAAACACAAATGTCTCTATTCAAGTTTTAGATATTAGGAATCCACCCATAGTTGTCCCAGGTGGACTTCGTTTCACTACAGAACCCTGCAGCAATTCAAAGCATACTGTCTCCCCCTTCTCCATTTCTGCCAGAGCAAAAGTAGTCATGGTGTTTCCATTTGGTGTTTTCCTCTGACTACTCGAGAGAGTTCTTTTGTACCCACGGCTAAAGGAGAGTTGTCCCAGTGCTGGTCCTGAACTAAACTCCACGGAGATGACAAACAGGTAGACACCTTTGTGTGGTGCTTTAAAGTGGCCATGCTCAGGGAAATAGCTGTTTCCATAATTGAGGTAAGTTTCATTAAACCTCACAGTTTTGTCTTTATGCTTTCCTTCTGAGACTCCCACATGGAATGCCACCAATGAGTCTGAAAAAGAAAGAGAAACAGTTTTAGCGATGAGTGCTCTTCTTTCCCCAGGACCATCAGGATGGGACATAAGGTGAAGCCCTGTCAGGCCTGATTTCTGTATGCTTCTTATGCAGAGCTGAACACCTGAAATGGGTATGTGCCTGGGATGAAATGGTTCCCTGGAAATACCTGAACCACTACTCTTGGAAAGGTATAAGGTTGAGACCACCCAGGAGAAAAAAAAAAGAAAAAGTAGCACATTTTTGCTGTTCTAAAGATAAATTAGTTAAAAACATGTTCTCTGCTTAGTCTTAACTACAGTTTTGCTAAAGGGTCTGATTTTTGCTCTATGTTATATGTCCATAATAAGGGCTGCAATCATAAAAGCCAATACTAAAACTGTGGTGGTTGTAATTACCAGCTGCTTATGGCCACATGTTTACACTGAAAGGGAACTGGCTGGTCACAGTGAAGTATGTGCTGAAAACTTATCTCTGAAGCTTAGTTGTAAGAGAGAGTGTGTGCTTTCTGGTCAGTCCTCCTGATTGCACTTGTGCAAATTATAGCTGTTCATTTAATGTATTTGTCTGCCTGGGGAAGGGTTTGATGCTTTGAGTATATCCCTTCTGGATACAAATAACAGAGGAAAAAGAAGCAAGGTCAGTCAGAAAGCCTAGCACTCCACATCATCTTCCAAGAGAAAACTCCCACTGCATTAACATGGGCATCTGCAAACAAAATTTGTCTTCTAAACATCTGAAGTTGAATTAGATTGAGACCAATTTCCCAGCAGCTGTGATAGGTGTAATTTTATTGGCCTCGAGCAAAATGCATCAACTTGGTTCTCACTCAAACTGCCTTTTTTGGGATGGAGGGGGAGGATGGAAGTAATGTCAGAATTTCTCCCTCCAGCATCCCAAAATACATCTGACAGGTCTTGTAACTCATCTGCTGTGTGTGTGAAACCTGTGGCAGGGCCCAGAAAGAACCTGGGGATCTGCACGTGGTCAAGCAAAAGAAAAGAACGCACCTTTTTCCAAAAGTCCTGTCTGCACTGCATTTCTTCCACTTATCATTTGCATATGTTCTCTGTGCTTCTCAGGCCTTTTCTTGTCTCTTTGCTTGTCTTGACCTTTCTGTTGCCTTCTCACTTTTCTGGTCATCATCGACTGAATTTTTGTAACATCCAGACTTATATTTGAGGCAACTAATTCTTCATTACTTCCAAATAGCTTTTTGAAAATCAGCAGATGTTCCTTCAGATTCTGCTTGATGGTTGCTAAATCTGCAGAGAGAATTCCCACAGAAGTGTTGAGTGGCTCAATTACATTTGCTATTGTATGATTGCAGCAGAGACTCACATCACTTCTGGATTCATGCCTCTTGATTTCCAGGCTCAGGTGCTTGATATCATTCTTCAGGGTCATGATATCATTGTAAGCTGAACTATCCAGGGAGTCATCTCTGGCAGCCTCATAGTTAGGTTCCATGTGTTCTATGATGCTGCGTTGACTACTGACTTCATCTGGAGTGGAGGATGTTTGTATTTCTTCTTTGGGGTGCTTAGGAGATGTACGAACATCGTGATTATTCTGTTGACCTCTCTCCAAGAGATGAAATCTCCTTATAAGAGATTCTAAGGTCACATTTTGCTCTTGGAGTTTATCTGAGGTATGTCTGAGAGATTCTTGCAGCTGAAATACTGATGATATTAGGATACTAGAATCACCTTCAAAGAGGACATTCATTAATTCTTCTCCCAGTAGAGCCTCCAGTGCTGTTTCATGCCGCATGGCATCTTCCAAAAGAGAGATGAAAGAACTGTTGAGATACTTGATGTGTCGATGAATTTCTTCATCTTTCTTCTTCAAGAAGTCTATGTCCTGTGAAAAAGCCTTAACTTGTGACTGAAGCTGTCTGTTTTCTTCTTGACGGAGATTCAGAGACTGATGGATAGATGGAAGAGCTGAGGAGAGCTCTTCAATTTCATTCCTCAAGAGATCTCTGAAAACTGACTCTAAGTGCTTCATATCCTTTGACTGGGTATCTTCAAGGGAATAAGTGATATTCTTTAAATCTTCCTCCAGTATATCAGTGTCAGAAGATATTCTCTGGCAATTACATTCCTCCATGTACCTCAACAGGTCTGAGTAGTTTTCCCGAAGGTTTGAGAGAGTGTAGTTGAGCTCTGATATCTGCCTTTCCATTGCTGCATTGTTTTCTTCCATAATCAGTGATTTCTCCATTAAAGTTGTTGTAACATCTTCTGGTCTATACTTTGAGATATTTTTCTTTAACTCCTTAAACCACCTCTCTAAAACTACAATATTCTGAAAGGCCACGTCTGACTCCATGTGAAGTTCTTTAAGCTGCTTTCCATGCCCTGACAAAATGTCATTTATTTGTCTGATGCTTAACTGGCTATTTTCGTCTTTGGGACCATTATGTGAAGAGAGTTCTGATAAACTGTTTTTCAAAGTCTCCAGTTGATTTTCCAGATTGTTTTGTTCTTGTTTCATGTTAGCAATGCTGTTGTTCAAAGCTAAGAATTGGGACTGCTGGATCTTATGAAACTTCTTGAACTTTGTGTCTGTATCTGCCTTGATCATGCTGAGATTGTAGTGAACACTAGCCTGCTGCATGTGCAACTGGTTCTCTATATCTCTTTTCACCTGATCAACTTTCACAACATTTTCTTGGACTTTTGATTCAAATTTAGTTCCCAGCTCCTGGAATTCCTTCTTGGGCACGGTGCTCTCCTGGAATCTTTCTATGTTTTTCTTGTTGGCTTCCACGTCATGGGAGAGGTTTCTTACTATGTTGGAGAGGTTCTGTAAGCTTCTGTTGAAGCTTGCCCACATGGGGTTAAAATGTTTCTTTAGAAAATTCTCCACAGTGGGAAACAAAACTTGCTGCAGAAGCCTTTCCTGTAGATCTGTTAACACAGTTGAAAAAAAATTAATTAAATTTAAATTTTGCTTTTGGTACAGATCTTAATCAGGCCAGGGCATCTCAAGTATGCATTTTTCTATAGTAACTGTTTTGCTTTTGGAACAGATCTTAATCAGGCCAGGGCACCTCAAGTATGCATTTTTCTATAGTAACTGCTGTCTTACTCCCCAGAATCTGACCACATGATAAAGTTTGACAATTGCAAGAGTAGCCTTGTTTTAACTCAAGGTTACTGTAAAGCACATAGTGTCTTTGAGTCTGCAGTTGATAACTTTGATGTATATTGACTTCCCCATTTAAGTCTTTACAATCATGCTTTTTGAAATCCCTAGACAGGCAGTTTTGCAAGTGGCTGTAACTGCCCATTTTCACAACAGTTCTTAGCTGGTGGCATTTTGCTTTTTTGACTATGTCATGATGTTGTTCTTTTTTCTGATTCTTTCTACTTCACAAAGTTGCACAGCATCTTAACAGCTCAATATTCCAGATCAGGAACAAATAATGAAAAATCTGTATCTGTACTAGGTGGAAATTATCCTAAGGCTTGATTTCCAACTTTTAAAGTTCAAATGTGAGTGCCTTGAAGCTCACTGAGTACAGTAGTCTGTACCATTAGAAAATGTTTCAGCAAACCAGTGGCTCACAATAGTAGGTTGTATTGGGCAGCTCTTTTTTTCCCCACTCCTATATATGTCAGGACATATTGGGCAGCTCTTGTTTTTCCCCACTCCTATATATGTCAGGAATTTGTTCCAGAAATGGATCAAATATTTCATTTTTTTCACACATACCAGTCAGATATCCTGCACATCAGAGTATATACCATGAGTATGAAAAAAAGAACAAAAATCAAACATAAACTCTGCATCCTCATAGAAGAAAGGAAGCCATAGTAGCAGAATCATAAGCTTAACAAAATTTAGGTATAAGCAACCTCTTTATTCTGTGGTTAAGGCATATTCTGAAATCTGCCTTTCATCTCATTTCACATTTCAAGTTACTCTTTGGTTCATTCATTTGCATTGGGATTGCACCCATTTTTTTATCTCTTTAGAAGCAACCAGCAGACCAAGGAATATCAGTGTATTTTTGCTTTCATATTTTCTTTCTAATCTATGTGGTTTCACAGGGCCTATTGCAGGCTGATAGTTCTGCATCAGACCTCTCACCTGAATTGCTCTGGTTCCCTTCTAACACCATGCTTGTACCGTTGTTTTCAAATAGTCTCTGTAAGTCACCTAAGTTGCTGACTGCTTGATGAATATCACTTTGCAGATCATCCAGTAAAGCCTCATGATTTTGAATGACTTCCAACATTTCTCTCGAATCCACTGATGTTGACACTAGTCACAAGATTAAAAAAACAAAGTCATGCAACAGAGTGCAGCGACCAGGTGACAGGTATTCATACAAGACCTCTGAGAACACCTGTCTACCCTTTGCTCTGAGAATTTTGCACTGACATTTAGGGGCTCTGTTGATTTATGGAACCTTAACTTGCAGTTTCTTTGCAAAGGATTTTTCAACAGTGAAGAAAACCTAGTATCTTTAAATATTAGAAGACTACTTCAGCCACAACAGCCATGATGGCATTAAAATAGTCTTCATTAAAAATCTCCCCATGCCATAAGAATGTTTTGGAATAATAACTCTTTTCAAGCCAGTGACTTAAAGGATAGCAAGGTTAACAATCAAGAATAAAAGATGATGAAAGAACAGTTGAGGCACTCCACTAAGGAAACAAAAGCACAGTGTGTAAGTGTCAGAGCTGACTCATGGAGGGGCCCTTTAACTGGTGCTATACTGGGTCAATATCTGTGACTCTGAGCTGTAGATTTCAAAGTGTAGTCTGAGAGCTGCAGAGACTGGTATATCCCATTGTGCCATCCTAGGGGCCTCTTACCCTCCAGAGTTACCTTCGACTTTTAAATCTCGTGCTTTATAGAATTAAGTGTGCAAATCTGCTGATTCATTCAGTGCTGAGAGCTTAATGCAAATGAAACTCAGGGCCACAATACTACCCTGGAGCTGATTGCTAAAAGATACGTAACAGCACTGCAAGGCTTATCTGGGGGTAAGGGAAGGTCCTTCTTGTGTACTTATCTTGGTAGGATAGAGTGCCTGAGATACAAGTTTACAGTACCTCATAACAGTAATCTCAAAGGTACTGGGGAGTTGCTCAAAAATAGCATTTTGAGTGTTGTTTTTCTGGTAGACTGGTGAGCAGGGTGTGCTTTCCTGTGAACCCACAGAGCAAGGGGCTAACATCCATGCCACTGAAAGGTGTAGTGCTCTGTACCAGCTGCTGTGCTCCACAGGTTTTGCTGATGACCACCAGACAGCTTTGAAACTTTTGGATGCTATGTCTAGAGCATTTATGTGGTATTGTAAGAAAATATGATTTATGCCAATAAATGGATCACGTCAAAGCTTTCTCAAATAATTCTGTCACTGCAGAGATTGTCCATAGCTTATCATGTTACAATTGCAGCTAAAATATAATAATTTTTTTTTTAATGACTGAGAGGTAAAAGGATGGCAAGCAAAGTAGCTTCAAGCACATACTGTGGTTTGAGAACTCTTCTTCTCGTCCTTCAGTTTCAGTTCCTGGCACCAGAACAAAATTAGGATCTGCAATTGAGATGCAATACAGCTGTGAAAATGTTTTAGATGCAGAAACTACTACAGTTAGCAAAGCAACACAGGGGAATTTCATGTGTAGTGTAACCAATGCAGAGACAGGGAAGAATATCTTGTCTGGATAATTTACTCTCCTTGCGATACGTCACGGGCACACACGTTGCATACGTGGTAATGGTGGGGGGTTGAACTCATGACCAGTTATTGCTCCTAAGAAATAAATCTATTGCAAATAGATGCTTTTGGGGTTTTTTTTCTTCTTTTCTGGGGGTCTCATCTAAAGACTTGCAAATTTTTCTTCCTTGTTCCACAGTTACCTGAACATTCTGGTGGCACCAACAGTGAATGATGCTGTACAAATGGGGAAATAAGGATGAGGAGCTGGTTTTGGTCAATGAGTGTAACAAAGAAGAAATTAAACTGAGAAGCACTGTGCTTGGGAATGTCTTTCTAACATTGTCAGTGGAGGTCAGACTGGGGCACCAGCTAGAGATAAATCTATGAAGAACAGCTATCTGCGAAGAAAAGCGAAACCTACAGAGATTTTTCTCTGTTGCATCCGTAGGTGAGTTAGACACAGACTGTGTGAAAATTTTTACACGTGTCTATTTCGTTATGGCTGCCTTAATTGTTGGGGGGAATTAACTTGTATCCATGTAAATTCCCTTAATTCCATTTAAATTCTTAAATCCATTTAAATTCTGCATTTTGGGTATTATTTGCTAAATTCTGCCAATACTACTTTCAAGCCACCATTCAGTTTTTAAACCACACTGTCTCCCCTCTCTTTTATTTAGCAGCTGCACAGATCTTAGAATAATACAATGGTCTGGGTTGAAAGGGACCTAAAAGATTATCTAGTTCCACCTCCCTGCCATGGGAAGGGAACCACCCACTAGCCCAGATTGCTCCAAGCCTCATCCAGCCTGGCCTGGAACACTTCCATGGATGGGCATCAACAGCTTCTCTGGGCAACCTGTTCCAGTGCCTCGTCACCCTAACAGTAAAGAATTTCTTCCTAGTATCTAAAGCAAACCTGCCCTCTGTCAGTTTAAAGCCATTTCCCCTTGTCCTGCCACTACATGTCCTTGTGAATAGTCTCTCTCCTTTTTTCATGTAGCTCCTTTAGTTCCTGGAAGGTGCTCTAAGTTCTCCCTGGAGTCTTGTCTTCCCCAGGCTGAGCAACCCCAACTCTTTCAGCCTGTCTTAGTAGGAAAGGTGCTCCAGCCCACAGATCATCTTTATGGCCTCCTTTGGACTCACTCCAACAGGTCCATGTCCTTATTTTGGGGGTCCCAGAGCTGGGCACAGGACTCCAGGTGGGGTCTCACAAGAACAGAGTAGAGGGGCAGAATCACCTCCCCCAGCCTGCTGGCCATGCTGCTTTTGATGCTGCCCAGGGCTGCAGACTGGAGAGTGAACACTGCCTTCCTCACCTGAACTTGGATGTGTTGTGATTTCCTGAGCCACATGATTTCAGCTTGTTAATTGACCCTAGGGGCATTTCACATACTGGTGTTGCTTTCTGATGTCACCAATTTCTACCTGAAATTAGGCAGTCCTAGACAGACTTGTACATCCCACGGACTCGCTGGCAAATGAGTGTCTCTCTCTGTGTGTAAAGATTACAAAGGTGCTATTAACAGAAGAATAAGCAGCTAATGCTATTTAACTACTAATTGCAGCTACTCCTTGTCTCAAGGTATCAGTGTTTTGGGGCAGAGCAGACCAAAGAAACTGGGCATTGATTCTAAAAAAAGTGAAAAACAAGCAGGCAAACTTATTTCATGCCACCATGCCTGGCATGTAGTCATTCATTCTCACACTTGTTCTCTAGGTTTCCTTACCACGCTGTTCACAGTCCTTGCCAATAAATCCAGGGCAGCATTTCCACTGCAAAGACTTCAAAACCTTCTGTTTCACTTGGTAGACTGGCTTCAGAGCTGTCCTGTACCTGGGGAGTAAGAGTTTGGGCTTTAGATTGTGAGTGATTACCAGCTGGG